TTGTTCGGTCGCGTAGCGCTGGTGGCCATCATACAGATTAAAATAACCAATACTCAACTAGCGCTTGTGCATATTAGGGCCTGGAATCAAATCCGTCGAGTGGCCACGAGGACCCAACTAAGATGAGCATTTTCTTGCGAAAAAATATGGCTAGAAACCGTTGCGTCGAAAAAAATTTTTGCGGGTGGGGGCCCCAAATTCTTCGACAAGTCGTGAATGGGGTTTGAAGTCCTTCACCTACTCTAATATTACCAGTTTACAGTTCAAAAGGTAGGACATAGATAGACCAAATAGAGAGGCCACAAAGCCTTACAAATACCAAACCTTTATACCGTGACTAGTTGGTTCATACCGATAGGGTAATTATTTTATTAGTAGGAAGGTTGACTAGAGCACCGACAGGAAGAAACCTTTGAAACAGTAAAAAAAACAAAATTAAAAAATGGGAGCCACAAAATTTAATCCTAAACCTGGTTTCCACATTTTCTTCGAGATAAAATTTGGTTTTTGGAAACAAAAAGTAAAACAAAATATCCCCTACAATTTTTATGCCCTAGGGCCAGGCTTTCTATGCACATACCCTCAAAATAGCCATTAAAGAAAAATTTACTTTTTCAAACACTACATTTCCTTTGTAATTTTTAAAAACATCAAGTTTAAGCAAAAATGCCCCTGTATTTGTATCCCCCTATCTAAAAGTATTTATCTTTGTATAAATCTTTTTTAGAAAAATTGGGGGACGAATTAAAAAAAAAAATGACAAAACAAAAATTCGCACTTTACTTTCCAAACGTCACCAATATCTAAGGAATGAGAATTTCTGAACGGCTATGTATTTTACTACCGACAAATATACCACCGTTTTTTCAAATTCAAAATAGAATTTTTAAAATCTAAAAGTTACCCAAACCCCTTTCCAAAACGATCTTTAAGGACGGAATGATTCAAAAGTTTGGGAGAAAAAATTTGTAAAAGGAAAAAAAAATTGCTTTTTTTTTTTTCCCCTGTTTAAACGTCTGGGGTTCCCTTTAAATATTTTAGGAGGAAAACCGCTTGTCCAGCGTTTTCTCAGTTTTACCCAAACTAAAAGAAAAAAAAATTTTATTTTTTTATACAGAATAATTTTTGTGCTTATAAAAAGGGTGCGGCAATTGAACCGAAGCGTTTTTGAGTTAATGTCAGTTTTAGGCACGGTCAGGCGTCTCTATCACTATACTGATGTGGCGGTATCTTGCGTTCCCAGAAAGGAAAAAGCCGTAGATGTATTCCTTACCTTTGTCGAATCTTATACATCATTATGTTTTATTAATTTCGGAATTAGTTTTTGTGTAATAAAATACTATTTCGCCAAAAAAAAAGTGATATGTCTAGTTATTTACAAATCTAAACATGACCTGTTATTTAAATACTAAACGTCAACTGTCGTTTCTCGTCAACTGTCACGGCATTTTCGGCGATTATCTAGAAAAATATCAGAGACGTACTCGCGCATCAGCGTATCCGTAGCTCGGATATTACATTCTTTAAAGATCCGGCCACATCACTAATCGCTACGTAGTGTAGATCGACCTATAAGTTGTACTATTAAGTTAGCTGTGAGAATGTACCATGTAACATTAGCATACCTAGTTTCTAGCTTTATGCTAAATACGCAACTGTGATGCAGTAGTGACCTAGGGTACAGCGTTAAACAGTTATCGCTATATCTAGAACAGGGCTCGTCCTAAACATAGTTAAGAATGGGTTTGAAAGAGAGGTATTAAGGTTAAATTTGTACTTAGCTTGCTCTTACTCGACCCATTTAAGTTGGCAAATGCCTGTCCCTGTTGGTGTTCTAAGACTGAAGTGAACACGCAATTAGAACTAGAGATTAGAGACAAGAAATGTACAGAGGGTGATCGCATTTCGACTATTACTTATTAATTCACTTTAAAAAACACATGCATCGTAAATGAATTATATTCTACATTCCTTTTTTTTCACTCGTAGGGGTGTTTTTTTTATATTTGAATGGCACCAACCTTTAAATTAAAAAAATTACTAAATCGTTTCATAAATGACACAAGATTTAAAATGCTTGACGTTAATATTGTACAATACCATTCATTAAAAAAAAAAACGGTTTCAGAGAACGGAATTATTGCGTAATTTTTATATATAATAAGTATATTACATACAGTCCGCTTTCTAGCGTAGTGGGTCATAGGTGGCGGAGAGCATAGTGTACTAATCTGTGGAATGTACTAACAGTAATAAATCGGGACGGAGCACTCCGGCCATCGTCGCTGCTGTCGGCCGCTCTCGCCGCCGCCAAACCACCATCTGCAATGCCAATGTGAGTATACATTCAGATAATAAACTAGGCCCCTTTAATACTAACTCGATGTCAAACTGATACACCATGACTGGATCAATCTCCCAAAGCATGGTTGTCGTTATTAAATGCATAACTATAAGAATATAAAGCTCGGGTCGTAGGTTTCGATTCCCACCCAGGACAAATATTGTGTGATGAGCACGGTCATTTGTCTGTGTCTGGGTGTAATTTATCTATAATATGTATGTATTTAAAATATATAAGTGTGTTTATCAGCAGTCTGGTTACCCTTTAGTACAGGATCTGCCTAGTGTGGGATCAGACGGCCGTGTGTGAGATGTGTGAGGTTATTATAATAATATAACGACGGCACGGACCGTTGTAGTGGTTTAGGCGGTGTGTTGTTCGATCCCCACATGGGGACAATACTTTGTGTGATCTACAGATTGTTGTTCTGAGTCTGGGTGTTCTTTATATCCCTTTGATTGAATGTAATGTCCCCCGAGACAGAATATATTCCTAGTGCGGGAGGTTCTTTAAAAAAAACTCTCAGACGCGGACCATGACTGGGGCTGTGGGCCAGTAATACCTTCTTAATTATTTATAATCCATGGTCCTATTAAGGGGACTCCTTTATACTGCTGCACGGGGATAGCAGTAACAAGTGTTAGGTGTTCCTGAAACATTTCAAGTTTGGCGCTTATTCGCAGATATTTTCAATGGCAATAAGTGTCGGCCCACGCTGTGCTAGTGTAGGCGACGCGAACATGCTCGAACCAGCTCCTCCCAGATTTAACAACTCGTCATGTGCTGTTAAACCCATAACAACCTGGTTCTTCAGACCAACCAAAATTGTATTTGAAGTAAATATGTATGTAAAAAGCAAATAATATGTAAATAAATTATATTAATATTAGAGTAGCTAGTGACTACAAGCTTAGATAGAACAGATATAAAAGTTTAGATCCCCGATACAACTGTTGTAATCTTTTTGATGGTATCCTCACGCCGTACATAAATCTATTCTGATGATTCCTTCAGAGGATCTACATCCTGGACTGTGTGGGCACGCAAATTTCTGCGGTCCTGCTTCAAATATCCTATACTTCTTTTAGTATCTAAACTATTATTATTATAACCTCCTAGCCCACATAGGTTTCTCTAAACTGTCACAAGTCTGATCCGGCAAAGAAACATCCCATAGAAGATATGGAATTAGTGGTTCCAGCAAAATAAGGTGGGTGGCCTAGGGCGCTTATCTATAGTTGCCGTAGGCCCACTACGCTGGTACAAGGAGGGGGAGGACAAGAGAGTGCGCCTTGGCCTGATAGAGCGATTTCGCACCTTAATATATCCCACTTGACCGTTTCCGTGTTTCCAAATATGCGTAAGACCCATGGCAATAGGATTTACAAATATTCAGCTTAATGCTAGCTGAACTTTGTCAGATTTCTGCCACATGGGCGGTCCTAGGGGAGTGTGTGTTACAATTTTGGTTGCTGCTGCACTGCAAATGCGATAGCGTGGATCGGCAACACCGGGATGTCCAAGCAGTCTTATTTACGTAGGCACTACTTTCACTCTCGATGCCGAGGGAGAGGGATCCGTCCCTACTTAGAAAGTGGTGGTAACTGCGGCTGTCATTGCATGGTCGGTTTTCGCTGTTGACGTACCACAAAACACATTACACCTAACATCCTCCCAGTTATGATTTTGGGCGCGTAGAATGCTCATTGATGGAGATAGTAGATCGGGAATTTCATTACTTAGCATAACATAATCAGCCTCTAAACCTCTAAGTGAGCCCGAAAGTGGTCTTCCCTCGAAATGTCTTTTCATTTCGTGTGGATGGGTCGTCTGCGGCGAATATGGTTCTCTCCCTCGTATCGAGGATCTTCCCTATATCTTTTCCATTCCAAGAGCCATCTTCGACGTATCAATGCAGATCAGACTGTAGGTCGAAGTAAATTTAAAGATCAATTAGTAAGCAATCTAACTTATGTTGATAGTTTTAATTCCTATCGTGTAATAGTCATCAAAATGAAAAATTATGTAGCAACATCCTCGCTTTGTCTGTAATTTTCAATTTGAGCTAATGTCATTTCGTAATTTACAAGCATTGTAGAGTAAGATAGTCTATACCAGGGGTGGCCAACTTGATTGGACCCAAGATCTCTTGTTCACTAACGAGACCCTGTGCGATCTACCAATTACATACTTCTAGAAATTCTTAAATGAGACAGCATAGTTCAATACACAATCATGTAGCATTTTTTTATTTTATTAAGAGAAAAACATAAATGTGAAAATAATACTTAGTAACTACTTATTTACAAATATATTAGTGTGAGCATTGCGTTCTGAGTATCTTTCACTAGTTTAGCATAATCCAAACCTGATTACCTGAAACCTAGTTGGAGATTGCCAACCTTAAAGAATCCAATATATGAGCGTCTGTCAAGCGAGAACGGTGTTTACTTTTTGTTTGCTTTGAGTAGGAAAATGCTGACTCACAAAAATATGTTGAACCAAAACACAAATGAAGTTGTTCAACACATTTCTTCAAATTTGGATATTTTTCGTTGGAAACCAATGCCCAGAAATCTTGACCTGAGGATGACCTTGCTTAAGAAATATGTCGCAGCGCAGAGTAATAATTCGTTTTGTAACATCATGTGCTCCATTGAAATGTATCTGCAATTTTTGTAGCCAATTCTTAGATATCACTATAATCAATGGAATCATTGAACGGATAACTGATGAATTGAATCAAGTTCTCAATTTTTCTGAAATCAACACAGCGAATTTCGAAGTCTGCTACCACTGCCCTAATTGCTGTCGTATATTTCTCAGAAATGAAATTGTAGGTAGGAATGAAATTGTAGGTGTTTTTCCATATGATCCTTGATGTTAACAAATTTTTCAAATTTTTTTCTTCTCTTACGTCAACTATCATAGACGCTATTTGAAATTGAAACGCTGCAATAGAACTCACATTGAAACGCTGCAATACAACTCATCATTTCTCGTTAATGTTTTATTTCTTGCCTTGTTGATTCAGATTTAATGTACTCAGTTTTCCAGTAAAATCTGAAAAAAAACCAAATGACATTGCCAGTCTAAATCGCACAATTGCTGATAATCATCACCCCTTTCATCAAGAAATTTTATTATTTCGTCCAATAGATCTCGAAATGTTTGCAAAACTTGCCTCGACTCAACCACCTTAAGTCAGTGTGCATTGCCAATTCTGTGTTCCTTCTCATCTAATTGCTGTTTAAAGAGCCGCCTTTGGAGGATTTTCCCTTTATGGAATATCCATCACATGTTTCGTGTTTAATCTCTACTAGCCAGTACTTGTTGATGAATTATGAAGTGGTAGCTAATGAAGTCTGGAAAATCTTCGTCTTTGTGACAAAGAGCAAAAAACCATTATGAATACCTGCCATTGCAGGAGCTCCATCAGTTGTCATGATACGAGTTTATAATGCATAGCTTAATCTGGCAAATATATGCTTGAATTCCGTGAATTTATCAAGGCCACGAATTTTTCCTTTTAAGGAAATCATACCTAGCAGTTATTCTTTGGTCGAGAAATCTTTCGAAGACCATTCCGAATAAAAACAAGTAATTGTGCAGTATCAGCGGCATCTGTTGACTCGTCAAATTGGAGCGAAAAAGCAATTTGATGAACCTTCAGAAGCATTTCTTTCTTCATTTGATGTTCCTTCAGCGCTTCTTTTTCAACCATTTATCCATAATGTACGTAAACAATTATGAGGAGTGCCTAATACAAAGTCTAATAGTGATTTACATCGATAATCGTTGAAACGTCGTAACCCCGGTAGTTCTGTTCGTCAACTGTCAACTGACTGACTGAGACCCTCCCGTCCCTACCCCGCGTCCCACACGCTTCCCGCTTATTGGTCCATCGCGCGCCGAAAACAAAAGACTATACTGCGTAAAATAGAAGAAACAGCGATTGAAAAATTTGTACAAGATGATGCGTCCAGCAGTAGGTGATTACGTTTGGGCAGTTGATCTACGTATTTATATTTTTTGCCTTGCCACGATCGACTGGACTAACAGTTCGCGATCGACCGGTCGATCGCGATCGGACCTGTTGGGCCACCCCTGGTCATACGAATAGAGAAGGATTCATTGTCCACCACGAGAACAAAGACAAGAGGGAGCACATCGATATCCCTGAACTGGTTATTCAGTTCCCCTGAACAACAACAGTACTTAAATAAAAATAATCTCGATAATCCCTCTTGTTTTATTCCCTCCGTGGTTTGTCAAGCAGAAAGAAACATAACCAGTGGATTGGTTTACTGTCAACTGGTGAAACGCCGCAAGTGTTGAGTAATGTTTGCATGTTCCAGGTAATCCATGGCGGCACTCCTTATTACAACGACCAAACAATGGGTATGTATCGACATAATATTATAATTTTTATTGTACGTATTTAGTATCTGTTTTTGTTTTATTATTGTTTATTTATCATTTTTGTTTTTATGATTTCGTTCATTTAGTTGTTTTGGTTGGTTTCCAGCTACGTGCGTGCGCGCCGTGCAAATGAATACGCACTGAACGCTACGACCTCGCCACTTAGAGTAATCGCACGGCGACAGACACAGTGTCTCAAACACACATACACACACACGCGCGCGCGCCACCTGCTCCCTCCTCATCCCTTCGAGGACATAGTTTAAGTTTTAACGATATATTTTACAATAGTCGACTGATAAGTCGCTTGTTCTGTTTGTGTGTGTGAGAAGTCGTAGTCAGTTGCAAACCCGACGGGTTCGTTCTGCACCTATTTAGCTTTTATACGCGTTGATCTTATAGAGTGTATTTAAACCGATGTATTCATCGAACCAATTAAATTATTGCCCGATTATATTTAATATTAGTGCAGTTCACCTAAGTGAATGATATCGAGTGTCTGTACATTGCGAGTGACGCGTTTTACGCACTGAGTGCTATCGTCGCATCGATGATTGCTGTTACAAGGGGACGAGAGCAGGCCGAGTCCACATCAATGCAGCTGCATACGTTGATCACTGAGCTGCTGCCCTTTACCGAACTTCCCTTAGCCAAACGGCTTGCACTCGGCCTTGTGCCCGTCCCCTTGCAATGTAAATCGTCTCTTAGGCCTGCCAGAGGCAGAGACTTGTTACGACTCACGTCATTACTAGCGACATCTGGACACAGAGTCTCTTTGGAGCTGGGTGAGTCCAACACTTTTACTATTTAATCCCTGGTATTGTAAACGCTTCTCTGTACTCGTTCTCAACTACTGAACAATGCATACCTATAGCCGAATGGTTAAAGTGAAAGATGCGACATTTGGCAAGCCCTAAAACACATATGGCCTCCACCGTAGTTATACATGTGTCCCGTCCGCTGACTTGTTTTCAATGTGCAATATTTTATTACTGATGAAAGTATATTTTATATTCCATTTTTTGTGGGCTTTTTTATATATAAATATTTTAATTAAAATCGTACAAGCAATCGGTAATATAATAAATGTAAGGACACCTGGGAGAAGGTAGTTCGCAGTATGAGCGTCAAACATGCAAGCAGACATCGACCTGGTGCCGTCGTTTTGGCTTTCCAAATTGCGCGACGACACCCCGTTAGCTCTCGGTCCTAACATTGTAGTGATATTAACGTATCAGTTTATTTCCATTTAGTCAGAGTTGCATTTTTGTAGTCGTGTGAGTCTGTGTGGTTTGAAGCTCGTGTAATTTTATTAAGATCTGTATTGGCAGAACAAGCCAGCTGAGAAACCATCACCGCTTTATTTTTATATCAATAATGATGGTCATTCTCACGTGAGCTTCTCTTTCTTACACGCGCCAAATAAGTGACGGTCGATACATTTTGCGATGACTCTGATGGGCCATGACGCTTGTGTTCAACTTTCGCTCATTTGACACATTACCGTCAAGAAGGTGGTGCAAGGGTCGTGGAAGGGTAGCAAGGAAACCTGCCCCTAGATGCAATTCATATTACCAATTAAAATGTATAATGAACAATAAATAATAGCATTCAATGTTATTAAGGATTTCCCAATGTTTTAAACGTTTTCAAGTCGTTAGAGGCACTAAAGTGATTGGTATTTATCACAAAAAGTGGTAAATATTTAATACTTATGTAGTATAAGTACCACGATAACGTACGTACTACTTAAAATGTTTTTAACATGAAACCACTGTAGGCTCTTTGGAAATGTGTGGGCTCTTGGCGATATTGTGATCGCACGTCGAGTGTCAGAAAGAGAAATTGTTCTGTCATGTTGTAAATAAAAAAATGTGGTGGCGGATCTCTGGGTTTTTATTATTTTAACGCACAAATTGTTAAGTTATCTGCACTGTGATAGATTCATTTTTATTTTAAGTTTCTTTTATATTATTTTAATTTATTTTAATGATGCCGTGTATCTATGTGTCAATACAGTGCAGCGCTGCATAGCATTGTTACCAAATACGGTGTTGTTTATTTCAAATGTTGAAGTGTTGTACACCAAAGCTAACATAGCGCGAGGCATGGCGCCGCTCGGACCCACGCCCTCGTTACAGCTCTTAACATTAATTCATGTAGTATGGGCCTGGTTTCGGATTGGGTTTCGCACGGGACCGTGTCTAGCGCTATCTAAATGTAAGCAATACAAATAATAATATATGAACTGGACTCGTGTTGTGACCCCAGCAACTGTAGGTAGCTTTTATGTTAGTAGCAGTTGTGCTATATGTAGATCTGAGTTCCTCTGTTTGGCAGTCGTGTAGTGGTGTCAGCTGCGTCGTTTCGTAGTCCACTCGTAACCTGGTTTCTTGAGTGGAGTAGGAGCGGCGTTTGTGACGTGACCGTTTTAGCTACTGTACTTACTTGTTATTTGTTGTGAAGAGACGACTTGGAGCGTGAATACGAGCGCGAAGAGGAGGTACCGGCTCCGCTCAGCAAGGAGGTGAAAGCCAGCGGAGCAGCAGCCGTGTGAGTACCAAGAGGCTGACCCTTTCTGGGACTATGAGGATCGCAATGAAAAAGAAAGGCAGAAAGAGAAAGTAAGGAGAAACAAAGAAGGGACCCAGGAAGCGAGCCCCGAGAGGCCGTCCACGCTCCGTGTAGAGACGCCCGCCGCACCTCCAGCTTTCGCAGACGTGCCGGCCGCCGGCCTGCCCTCGGGTGCCAGCACCCCCTCGTTTGGCGCCAGCGGTGGTTCTCGCCGCGATTCTCAGTGGACCGATAAAGGATACTTTGAGTAAATTTTTACCACAACCGCCTGTGGTAAATGTGTTTTTAACCTTTACGATCTAATATGTTTTTGGGCTTCGAAATCTGACGCTCCGTGTGCATCCGCTATCTCCAAGTAAACACCAAGCAGTTATCGGGGACTGCATTGAGACGGGTGCGCACGGAACTATTTCAATTTAGTAGTACCTACCAAATGTTTGTATAATCTGCAAATTTTTGTTTCGGATTTTGGGGGTTTTTATATGTAAATATTTATGTACTTACAAAAAAAAATAAGTATTCTATCAGTCCATCTAGCTTATATGTACAAGCTTGCTAGTTGATACTAGATGGCGTTGTGTATTAGATGTCCAAAATTATTATTACTATTATATCATGTAAACGGTATGAAATAAACTATGTGCACAAACCAATAACCCCGTGTAAACGTATCTCTGTATCTCTCGAGCGCGATTGAGTCCTCTCCTCGACGCTGTGGTAACTGCCAAGTCTGAAGCATACATTCCGGTGTCTCGTACGCCTTATTCTATAAAGCTATATCGCACCCCTCGTTGGCCTAAGCACAGTAATTTTGAAGTACATTAGTGTTAAGATACAGATTGACGTGGTCCTGTCGCTGAGACACGACTGTTGTACTAAGTGTTGTGCGGCCCCGCGCTCCTCGACTGTGTCTTGCCAATTTAATAATAAACTACGTATATCATCCTACTTTGTTTCATTTCACAGCTCGCCTTTCACATTTTAAACAATTTGATGAAGGCCAACCCAAAAAAAATACAAAAAATATCTAAAAAAAATTATGTCCGCATAGTTGAAGATAGATTTGTCAGTTTTTGTGACAAACCCTTTTCGATTAGGATCATGTGTTCGTCGCCAAAAACACGTGGACAATTTAAAATCACTAATAGTGATCAACATTATTAACTATAGGATTTGTGTGATTTACTTAGTATAAACAACTAATGTGTGTGTATGTTAAGAATTGCAAAAAAAATATATATGTTTGTTTGATATCTCTTTGTTCTGTAAGACCACCAAAACAACTAAAGTCACACTTTAGTTGTGTAAGGGTTATGCCACTGTATTTTTTTTTAGTGGCTTAATGATGGATAAACTATTCAAAAATTTAAAAAAAATGTTTTTCAACCTGAAAAAGAAATTTGTTCATTCAACATTTAACTGAACACACTTTCGACGTCCGAAATTAGGAATTTCGCGCGTTTTCTTTTTTTGACTATCTCGTTAAAATTGATTCCTATAAAATCGATGTGCTTTTTGATATATGATGATAGAGGGCGCTCGTAAATATTTTGCTTAAAAATGTTGCTATAGTTAGGGTGAAATTGCGCGGTAAACAGTAGAGATTAGTCCTCACTCCGCAAGTTGCTAGTACACGTGGTGGACGAATATTTTCATGATATTGCTACATGCGTTTTTCAACGATGGATTACTCGGTATACTGAAGATTATGAAGGTCCTGCAGTTGCCAATAGGCCTAACTTGTTACAATGATTGCCAGAAGCCCAACGAAATGAGGATTAGTCATGCCGAATCGACTTTGACGGATGCTGCTAAAACTGGCGCGCTCGGCCTTAGATCGCAAAAAAAAAACTGGAAGACGAAAAAACATAAACTTAGAAGGATTTGTATGAAGCTGGTATTGCTGACTAACGGTAAATAACATTTTTTAGATACATTTTTAAGTTTATAGCATAGAATCAGTACTTAAAACTTTAAACGCGATTTTCTATAAACCATGTTTTTCAAATTGGCTTGCAAGATAACTAAATTTTTATCCGATTGAGCTCAATTTTTTTCTGTAGTAACTTAATTAGATTTTGCAGAGAATGTCGTACGGATTTTGCAAAAAATTTAAAATTATAATGATGCAATAATATATAATTTTTTTTTTTTCGGAAAAAATACTTTTTTTAAAAGCTTGCCATTTTCAAAAACAATATTTTTAAAGCCCGTACGACATTCTCAGATATTTTCATGTTCAAGTTAAGGAGATTTTTTTTTTTTGGGAGGATCAAAACCAAGATATTTTGCAAGTCCCCGAGCACCTTTTAAAAACATGTATTGTGACAATGGCTTGTTAAAATTTTGTATTCTTTTATAATACAAAATAAAAAACATGTGGTAGACTGTTTTATTAATAAAAAAAATCTTACAAAGAAGTATTCGATTTTGCCCTCCAGTGATTACAGTGGCATAACCCCTTAAATATGTATTTTTTTCGATACTGATAAACATGTGTACATACCGTCTCGGTCCCCGTGCAACAAAGAAGCACTTTTAAAATCGACTTTTGGGCCTTTTCCCTTTGCGGGGTTTTCCCTTTTTGATTGAGGCCCCGGGCGCCGTTAAAGTTCAAGATACAAATATTTTTTCACGCAAAATAAAAATCTTAGATTGGCTATTTTTATAAAAAGAGATACCCCTTACTGTTAAATTCGGCCCTATGACGGCTGCGGGAATCAATTACAAAAACGCTTTAGCGTAGATCTCTTTAAGTGGTGAACGTGGACTAATCTGTTTTAGTATAATAACAGTCGTTGGACTTTATGCCCCGTCCGCGCTTTTTCCGGGGACTTTTTCGCCGCTAGGGAAACCGCCTCCGAATACATCGGTGAGTAAACCCAAAAATCAGGGGTTAACGACACCCCCGAATAAGCTCTCCAGAGGGTATCGAGGCCGATTCCTCCCCTCGGAATTGTTTGCAAAATGAAACTAGAATAGAAATCAAGGGACCGTGACTTTGGGGGCTCGTCCAATGATATTTAAAATTTTTATAGTCCTTTGTCTATTAGGTGTCTCTATGCACAGGGCCCCGGGCTACGGCAAAAAAGGTTTTTAATAACCTGATAATATTAGGGCTTAGATAAAAAAAATAGATAAAATTTAAAACTGAATCTATAATTAAATTTGAAGAATATTTTTTGTCCCCCTTTTAAGCTATTCGCGGACGGAGGTTTTGCAATTTGGGAGCGCATAAGGTTTTTATGTGAAAAGCGCAGAACGCTAAAAGCTTTAATCCCTATGTGCTAAAATTTTTAAAATTATGAGAAAAACGGCTCCCAAAGCTGCAGCTAAGGGATTAAAATCGCATTTGACCTTTAGTTACGGAGCTATACAATGGCTGTTCAAGTTTCCCCCGAAAAAAGGCAAAAAAACAAAACATTTAAAGGTAATGTTTCAAAATTCGGGTACAAAACCCTTAAAGGTCATAGTTAGTAGTACAGCAGTAGATAAATTTCGACACACTTTTCGTAAAAGCCGTATATAAGACCGAGAAAACGGCGTCGAAACCCCAAAAATAACAATTTTGGGAAAAAAGCTCCTTTTTTACTTCTTTTTATTTTTCAACGACAACCGGGGACAGAAGACATAAAAAAAAGGTCGTTTTTCCTAAAACTTTTAGCAGTTTAAGTTGGCCGCTTTTTCGCAGAACTTCAATGATAATAAGGTCAAGTTGTGTAGGTGGGGCGAGGAACAGCTGTACTAGCTCCTCATTTCTCCCGATAACGTCATGTGCTTAAAGCCCAAGAAGCGTTTTTCGACCAGGAAAATGTATTTAAAGAAAAGGTTTTAAAAATATTTTTCAAACATATTCACTCACCGGGCCGGGGAATAATTTTACCAAACATAAAACTTGTAATAACCCCTTTATTTTAAGGAAACCTTATATTCATACGCACGCACAAAATATTTGTCCCCTAATACCTTTTTGAACAAAAAAATTTCCCTTACATTTAATTTTTAGAAAAATTTTTTCGAAGGAATTAATAGTGCGCTGCTTGCAGCCGGTCCCAATTAGGACCCCTCGCGTTTTTGTGCGTTCATTCTTTCAAAAGTGCCCCAAAAACCCTCGCAAACCATTTTTTCTCGGATTTCTTGTAAATATATTCCTTTCAAAAAACCCCCAAAACCCCTTTTCTCCCCCCTTTATTCTGACTTATTAGTCAATCTTATATTTCACTAGTTTTTTTAGTCTTCTTCTTTTCCCTAGCTTTAAATGACTCCCCGGGTTTGTGTTTTTACCCAACCCCCCCTTCCCCCCTGCCAAAACCTCAGAGTTGGTACCAACCCTTTGCCCCAAAGCCCCCCAGGGCGTACGTGGGGGACGTCCCCTTTTTAGTGGGTTTTTAAAGACACACTCTGACATTTCACAAGGCTTTGCGTCAAGTTTTTTTAAAGGGAAAAACTTTTTTTAATTTTTTCGATTTTAAACTTAGTTTGTACGTTTAATTTTTTTAGTACGAATACAAAAAAATATATTTTAAATTGTGAGTAAGGGGAGTAAACCCACATAATTTTATTTTTTTACTTTTTAGAGAGGCAATTTTGCCCTCCCCACAAAGAACAAAGACAAGAGGGAACCCCGTGGGGAAAGTGTTGGATTTTTCCCTTTAATTTGGGTTTTTAAATTTTTTCCCCTTTTCCCCGAAAAAACAAAAAGTACTTAAAAAAAAAATTAATTTTCCCCTTTCAGAGATTTTTTATTGACCCCCTCTGTTTTTATTCCTCCCTGGTTGTCCATTAGACAGGAGTGGGGTTTGGGGTTAGTTTTCATTTTTGAGTAATGTTTTCATGTTTAGGTAAAACCATGGCGGGCCACAAACTCTACTTACAATGTGAATTCATAGCGGGTTGGGGTATCAAACAAAGATAATTTTAAAATGTTTTTTTGTACGTGTTTTTACCCATTTTTTATTTAATTTAATTTTTTGATAGGGGAAAAAAAACAGTTTTACAAAATTTATATTCATAATTTTGTCCTTTTAAGACTTAAATTCAAAAAACAGTAAATGCGAACATTAAAAATGAAAACCCGGGGAAAGGACATTTTCCTTTTTTAAAATCTTTTAAAAAAAGCCACCCAAAAAAACAGGAGATTTGAAGCTTATTACACCGTTTCAAAATTTACGTAGTTAGCTCCTTTTTCGTAGGGCCCTTTAAATTCATTGTTTTAATGATCCAACTTATAATACCCTTCTATTTTTAGTCCAGACGTCTGTTAGTTATTAACATTATGCGCTATACAAGTCCGCGCCAATTACCGAATGTTTCACAGAGACACTTGCAACAAACGTACTGAGTATAAATACATTTTATTTACTGTTTGCGTGAATTATTCATTTCATTTGTAGTAAATAATATTAAGTTAATTATTTAGTTGTGTATCCTTGTTCGCTTTAGGACTGATTAATATATTCATTAATATATTAACTGACTTGCGACCATGAACTGACGGTAGTTTTTATGTTTAGTAGGCAGCGTATATGTTGTAGATCTGAGTCTGTTCCCTCAGTCGCGTCAGCTGCGTCGTTCGTAATCCACTCGGTAAAAAGTTTGTTGAGTGGAGTAGAGCGCGGAGAGACGTGACCGTCTGGCTAATGTACATGTTATTGTTGTGTCGAGACAGCTGGGAGCATGAATACGAGCGCGAGGAGCGGTACCGGCGCCGCCAAATGAGAACCGCGAGTACTGCGAGGAAGACCCGACGACTTATTGGGATTACGAGGATTATCTTATACTGATGAAAGAAAAAGAGCGCGCGGAGAAACAGGAAGGGACCCAGGCTGCGAGCCCCCGAGAGGCCGTCCACGCTCCGTGTAGAGACGCCCGCCGCACCTCCAGCTTTCGCAGACGTTCCGGCCGCGGCCTGCCCTCGGGTGCCAGCACCCCCTCGTTTGGCGCAGCGGTGGTTCTCGCCGTGATTCTCAGAAGACTGAGAAAGGCTATTATGACGTTAAATTTTACCACAACCGCCTGTGGTAAATGTCTTTTTTAACCTTTGTCGATGTAATATGTGTTGGCCTCGAAATCGCTCGGTGTGCACCCGCCATCGCCAAATAAAGACCAAGCCACCAGCGATACTGCACTGAGGCGGATGCGCACGGAACCATTTCAACAGTAGTATCAAATGTTTGCATGATCTTTGTTTCGGAGTTTGAGTGTTTCATATGTATACGTATATGTATGAACTTACAAAAAAAATGGTATTTTATCAGTCAATCTAGATTTCATAGTACGAGTACAAGCTCTCCTTGCTTAAAACTAGATGGCGTTGTGTGTTAATATCCAAAAATATTTATTATTATATCATGTAAACGGTATGAAATAAACTATGTGCACAAACCAATAACCCCGTGTAAACGTATCTCTGTATCTCTCGAGCGCGATTGAGTCCTCTCCTCGACGCTGTGGTAACTGCCAAGTCTGAAGCATACATTCCCGGTGTCTCGTACGCCTTATTCTATAAAAGTTATATCGCACCCCTCGTTGGCCTAATGAGCACAGTCATTTTGAAGTACATTAGTGTTAAGATACAGATTGACGTGGACCGTTCTACATAACACTTGATAAAAAGAATATAAAGAAAACCGTGGAGAAACTTTACCTGGCAAAAGAAACAACACTCGAGTGGCACAAAAGGCTTGGACATCCTGGAAGAGATTTTTAGAGAAATTAACCAGCGGCGCATATGTGACACCTGCATCAAAGCCAAAAAACAAGACTGCCATTTAGTAGTTAGAGAAACAGAGCAACTATAGTCCATCAACGTCGTGCGCGGGCGTCCTGCGGGGTGACAGACGGTGGCGGGACGAGGTACTCAACATGTCAGCGGGTAGCGGGTGGTGTAGCGGGGAAGGAAACGCTTCTCTTCGTGTGTAGCCGTGTGTTAGTTAGACGCGCTACCTCGCCCCCGCACTGTCTGACACCCCGCGGGACGCGTCGCGCACGAGATTGCCGGGTTATAGGATCTTCTAGGTGATTCTGCACACTGATGTCTGTAGTCCTCTGGTATCTAAAATAATAGTTAGGTGAGCTACTTAATTTTGATGTACTAATAAGCCTTTTGCCGTCCACTGCTGAACGAAGGCCTCCACAGGAGCGCCAACCGTCCTAGTCTTGGGCAATCCGCTGCCAGCCATTTTTCGCAAGTCGTCGGTCCATCGTTTCGCAGGGCGCCCTACACTAAGTTTGCCTAATCGCGGTGTCCACACAAATAACTGTTTGAAAACCAAAGCTTAATATTAACTTATATTATCTAATCATGTACTAGACGTAGATTATTTTATACATGAGATTTTTGTTAGGATGTAATTAACCTTAAAGTGGCAGACATACTTACTATACCACTGCTAAAAAAATCAATTTCATTGTAATCATTTACCCAGTAAATAATTATAATTAATATATAGTGAAGTTAAGATAAAATACCAGTATTATAGGTAATAAGTTAAGTAAAATCTTGTAATCTTAAAATGTTAAAGCATGAATATTGTATCCTTAATAATTATTTAAAATCTATCTGTGTAACTTGTAATTTTAGAATAAGAGATAATCGTGTTATCTGGTCAATAATTATAATTTTATCGTCTATGGTGGCGCTCTAGCGTGCCTGCTCTATGGCCAATAAGTTAAAAACTTAGGTAGACATCGTTTCACCGTAAAATATAAAATTTTCAAATAAAGACTGTATTTTGTTTCTGTGCAATTGGTTGTTTTTTTTGTTACGACCCATCCCTCTGAACACGTATATCATCCAACTTTCTTGCATTTTACAGCTCACCCTTTAATTTTAAACGAATTTATTAATTTATTTACTATACCATACACTAGCATTACAGGACACACAATACATGAAATAACATAGTGTAGGACTAAACATTAAGAATAATAAAAACAATCTTAGAATACAACACGATATAGTACGACAAAACTTTTACACTAATAATTATACATAATTTACCCTTTAAACTATGCTTATGACTTACTGACGCCTAGATCAGAAGCGTAACCACTCCCAGCTGAATTGTGTGTATACAAAAGAAAAGGGTAAAAAAAGTGTATTTCTAAGATTTGAAAATTTCTCCCAATCGATTTTATTAGGTAACACTAAGCGCCCGTCAAAATTATCATCATATCATCAACAGCCTATAATAGTCCACTATTCATTGATATAATACTTACATAGATGAGTAATTACCGCCTAAAATCGTTTGCTACTGCACATCTGTCCACAGGCATATGCGTAGCAAACGTCAATTCAGTGTTCAATGTGGCGTCAACCGAGCTGAACATAGCGACACATGACAGTAACAATCGCCAAAAAGGGTAAATGCGTAGTGAAAGAATGCGATTCAAGGTCACAAAACCATAATAAATCATGCGGAATTACTTATCACGTGTAAGTTTATGGTTTTTGTATTGATAATATCGTAAATAAGGCTATAATTGAAATAAAACATTGATAATTTGTAATTTAGAATCAGTGTTACCATTAAAAAAACATTTTTGTTTTCCCACATTAGTAGGAGAATTTATAATTTATGAAATAATATGCTTTATACTGTTTTTAAACATTTTGTCAATAATAATAAAATATAGGAAGAACGGTAGTTGTTAGGGCTGAATCGATCACTTTTTTTAGGGGCCCGTTGAACGTTCACCTTCTGCCAAGCTCGCAGTGCTGGAGACTTTTGTATAAAATAATTAATTCATTCATTCATTTCTTAATTAATTATCAAATATAAATAACAATTGTACAAAAAAAAAGAAAAAAAAAAGTAAATAAATATAAATACAATACAAAAAAATATAAATATGTATATTTTTTATATTTTATTTTTTTATTTGTATTTAAAAATATTAAAAGAATTTGCAATACACCCTGGGGATTATTTATTATCAGTACAAGTTGATCATTCACTTTTACTATTAAATGCCATTATTTATACATAGGTAAAAATAAGATTGTATCATGAAAGTAAAATATTCACACAAACTTATAAAAAAGAGTCTAAAAGACAATTGTATACAAACTGATGCTTCAATAGCGGAGTTTGATTTTACACTGAATATAAACCCTTTTAACCAAATATTTCTAGTTATTTTATTATTTATACCTAATATTGCTAACATTATTTAATAAATAAAAAAATAAAAATTGTTCTCTGCTCTTATATCTATAAATTTCCAACTAACTAGTTTTTGATATCTTTATTATATTAACAGAATGTATGTTATGTAATTAATGTATGTAATTATCACTTTTATTTATATGTTTATTGTATTCACATATTGTTTATTGTAATTAAACTGTGCACACGTCCGTGAGGTACCTTTGGGCTTCAGCTGAAAATCAGCGCTGTGGTCACTTTTAGGGACTATAGCATAGGCTGAGTTGTGGCCCTTTAGTCACACACAGTGATCATTTTATTCCTTTGTACTTGTTGTTTTTGTTATTGTATGTGCTATTCTTCAGTTGACCAATTGTTTCTTTTCTTTTTCTCTTCTATGTTATATCTGTAATTCCTTTTTGGCTGTGTTTGTGTTGTGACTAATAAACGTATTTTCTTTCTTTCTTTCTTTCTTTCTATTCCATTCAATTCGAAATATATCATTTAAAATATTAAATTAATTTATTTTATTACAAAATTGTTTAAAAAAAATTGTTTCTTGGTTGTTATGGGTAAAATTTCATACGGTAGTCAACACTGGCCCCACCACCGTAAAGTTATGTCTTTGTCTTTGTCTAATCCGAGCGATGGTATTGTTCTTGTCTCGCGTGTAAATGAGACATAAATATGTTACTTTCAAATGTTTAGCGGTATCAAAGCTACGTCGTCAAAGTTCAAAAGTGGTTACACTTTTTTCGACGTGTGATAATGAGGTTTGCTTCTCTAGTGTTGTTTTTAACTCAATGCCACTATTGGTCATAGGACAAAGGACACTATTGGACAAAGGTCCCTCCTTAGAAAGGAGGTTTTGACCTACTATACCACGCTGGCCAGACGAGTTTGAGATTTGAGTTGGTATAGGATTTGTGTCAAGTTTTCCTTCTCTTTGGCAGTGCTGTTGCCCTGCGTAGTTTGCTCTCTTATTCGGCTCTTACGGCACCCACGGGATGAATAGGGGTAGTGACATTCCGTATTCTTAATTCCATTACCACACGGACACGTCAAAATTATAAGAGCAATAATTTCTTTTTAACTAATTGTATCTATTTGAAACTGCAAAAGAATTGATAAGCATATTCATGTGAACGCAAGCTAGTTAAAATGTCTAATGACGAAAAACACCTACCCCCTTATTTATAAACGTAATTTAACTAAAAACTGGTAATATACATAATATTACCACTTTTTAGTTAAATTATGTTTTGCACCATTCAGACGTCATTTTTTGACAGTGCAAAAGACAAAACACATATCTAAAATGCAGTGTTGCCAGCCTTGTGGATTTTTCTAGTGGTTTGGTAGAGGACTTAGTTGATGTTGAAAGAGGGACTTTGAGAATTGTTTGTATAAGCAAAACCTCAAGAACCTTTGATAGGAAAGGACGATGGAGATCGGAGGGAAGGAAGTGCTCAGCAAGAGAAGGATTATTAATTTTAGGCAATGGGATGATGTAGGCTTTGTGCCATAGGTAAAGGAAGGTTCCAGAAAAGTTAATATGGGTTATAACTTCGAGGATGTAATCCAGGATGGTAACTATCATCCTACAGCTAACGTAATCACTGCAATAGAAACAGACATCATTATGGTGTCCTAAAAGGCACCGCAGAAAATTCAAAGTTGACAATATACGTAGACCGTAGTTCAGGGTCTGACTCTTGATGTTCCAGTTGAGTAGCAGAAGGGAAATGACGATTGATATCATTCCTACAGATGATCGTTCGAAACTCGGTCCTTTGTTGTCTACCAATGCACATCGTGTTAAGGAACTTCCGCATACTGGAAGTATTGCACTCAAAAATATAAGCATAGAGAGAACACGGGGTACATCTGCCCGTAAGTGGAAGCAATCCAGGCAACAGGAGATATAGATGACCGTTTTTCCCTTTGTCTCTGTTTGGCTAAGCTGCCATTGGCCACTTATTAACCCCTCATTTCCCAGCCAAATACAGAGCTCGGCTAGAAAGAGATAGAAGGGATTATCTATTATTATCCATCACTCTCGTTGCCTGTATTGCAAGATTGGGGATCTTGTGCTCTCTAGGTTATATCTCTAGTTAGTATTAGTATTCCACAATAATAAGTATAAAATAAAACTAATTAATAATATAGATACGTATGGTTTTCTTTTGTAATAACTAGTGGAAAATTTTGCTCTTATTAGAGTTGGGCCGTTTTTCCACTTGGTTTTCTGGTGCTTTAGATGTTGAATCTAGTGGAGAGTTAATTTGTTTGTGGAGAACGCTGCTAAAATGGGTCCACAGTACTT